CAAATTATAAGTGAGTTTGAGCATTTTTAATTTTCACTAGATACTTTACATATATGAAACTTACTAAAAGATTGAACTTCCGTAAGAAACTCGCACACAAACACAGATAATGTTCTTATCATTAAGTTTTATAATAGATAGAACATTCACTTTTTTAAACTTCTAAAGCTTAGCATAATCTGCATAACGCCAATTTGTTAAAAAAAAAAAAGTTAAACATCTGTAAGTCGGAAAAAACAAATGCGTGTAGCGTCTTCTTTAAGGTTTAACGTCTATTAATGTACCATAACAGTGTATAATATTCTAATTTTAATTAAAAATCATTAGCCGATAATAACCGTGGTCGTGGTATAGAATGCCATTCGACCGCCATTACTGGTGAAAATATGTTCGGCAATAGTCGACCATACAGTGCTCAAGATATTATTGACGACGAATGCATAATCAACAACAACAGAAACGTAACCACTTTGAAACCGATAAAAAATCTGGTTCATCTACTTGACGAGTTGGAATTGTTGCGGACCGAAAATTTTCAGCTCCGGTTGCGCATCTACAACGCGGAGCAGCGGGTGGACAGGCTGTCAGCGGCCGTACTTAGACGGGACCAGAAACAGTTCATCGACAGTACAGATACTGACAGTGACAGTACGGGTACTGACGTTGAAAGTAAGGATACTGACAGCGAAACTAAGGATACTGACAGCGAAAGTAAGGATACTGACAGCGAAAGTAAGGATACTGACAGCGAAAGTACGGGTACTGGCATCGGCAATGCTAGTAGTGCAGGCCATGCGGTGAGCAGTACCAGCCAGAATAAAACGGCGGCAAAGACGAAAGCCAAATCGACCGTGAGCTTTATCCACGACTTGTTGGCGCTTAACCTGAAATGGCTGTCATTAATGGAGGCTACAGTGTCGGCCAAATCGGTATCCGTTTCCGCCGAAGACAAGCAACGCTGGCAGCAACTACAAAATGACATCGAAGAATACGCCATAGACCCGGTAAAAACACTAATATTATTAAGATGGCTCATGACGTATATTAATTGTTTTTTCATAGAATAATTATTTAAATTAAATTAAATTTTTCTTTATTTCATACATAACAATGAGGAGACAAGCAAAGACGACGATGATAGTGATGACGAATTTTTTGATGCCTCTGACGCAGACTTCGAGGCGTTGTACAAAGCGTGGGCAGTGTCCGCGGAACGTTCAGTGACGAGACGGAACGTTAAACGTTCGCCTCCACTGCAAACACAGCCAACAGCGTCCATGCCTATTGAAACCTTGGTCATGGATGACGAAAGTGCCAGATCAGAGATGACCTGTTTTCGACTACCGTGTAAATCAATCCGGTCAGTGCATCAGCAGATGAAAACGGAACTGTCGGCCCGGAACTGGATGTTTCTTGGCAAAGCTGAGGAGCAACGGATCATGAGGCAGGTGGCTTACGTGGGCGTACAGAGAGACAAGAGCGCATCTCCGCCGCCGCAACATAATTTGCAGCAGTTTTGTATGAAAGCCACGGATTTGACTGCTTCACCGTCGTCGACCAAAGAAGTCTTGGCAATACGGTCTGACACGCAAACACTCTGCACTGCAAAAGCACCTGAAGCGGCCTGCACAAAATCACATACTGCAACAAGGTCATCACCGCTGACAATAGCCACGACGCCACCGCCATCTGAGCCGTCGGACTACTCGGAAGAGAATTGTTTCATCAGTTGCGACGAAGAAGATGACGGAGACGACCATGGCCGCCGAAATGACTTCACGGAGTCCAYCTGCACTTGGTCTTCCGAAGAGGAGACTGCGGATTGGAATTGGAATGATTGTGATGACGAAGAGTMTGTGCTGTTAACTGCGGTCCGCGCTCCGGTGGAGGCTTCGACGAGTACGCGGAGGCGCTGTCGATTTTATCAACCAATCAAAGGCATCGGCGATTCGGCTACCGTCACTTTGGCGAAGTCGTCATCAACGGAGTCTGTAACCGTGGAGGACGAAGCGAACGAATTGAATGTTGATGGCGTTATTACGACAGAGACGATCGCTACGTCACCCTACACCGTAAGTGTCGACAGTGGTCTGAATAAAATCCAACGGTGTTTCAGTGGTGGCATATTTGTAACCATGGAGGTAGAAAATCGTTGGAGACCACTATCCGTGGCCGATGCACAAGTGCAGTGCGAAAACGTAGTGGTTGACCACATAATGTGCAGTAGTGTTCTTGGCGACGATCAACTTCAGCTGTCACAGTTGCGACACGAATTAGATGCTCAGCGGCGTGAAAACGGTCGACTTAATGACATGTTACTAAGATATCAACTAGGAACGCCACCGGGTGACTGGGAAAAGGGCGAAAGTGGTTTAAGAATTTCATCATTATCGGACTTAGATCCAAGTGGTTCACCCGAACAAGGTCAGCAGGCTGCCGGAGTGCTGCACGGCAACATGGCCAAACCGGTACCACTGCTCCTGCCTATGCATTCGATTTCGGACGGTGACATTGGCGGCGGTGATGGAGACCATCAGCGATGCCAATCGGATGGTGTGAAAAAATAGCTTCAACTACAGCTCACCCGCCTCCGAGAACTCATAATGACGYACGAACATCAAGAATTTGACAGCATCGACAACCACGCAGATGCAGTCTCGCAGCAAATGCCGTTAAACGACGTTCCGGATCTGGTAAACGTGGCGCTCCCGCAGGTCCTAGAACGACTCCGACGGGCGCTTGTAGTGTTGCAKCATTGATCAGAAAATGGTTTCGAAAAATGATTTTTGTTTTTGTTTTTGTTTTTTGTCACACATGACGAAAATAAGTTATATATATAATCTATACTTTTATTGTAACATACATCATGAGATGTAAGAATTTACAGTGATAATAGCAATTATTTTGCGTACAAACAATTTAAAAATTAATATGTTATACAGAATAACAAAATGTTAACAGCAAGAATAACTGTGGTAATTTTTGCTGTTTACATTTGTTTATTTATATTAAATTTTTATTCACCAAATATCCTACAACTATAACCGTTGTAAATTGATACGGTGCATATTTCAATATATTAATATATATAGTAGATACCTATAATACTAATATATTAATTTGCAAATAAGCTTATTATTTTCGTTGTTTACTTCATATTACTATTGTTATATAATATATATATTTAATTAATAAAAATAATTTATTGTTATAACAACAATCTAAGTCAATGATGGCCCATAGATGTGGCCGCCTAGAGTACCTGAGTGACCCCTGTCATGTTCGAAAAGCACCAGTCAACTGAGTACAAGTCAAATGGGTAAATTGTTTACAACTTTTATTTAAAATAATAATTCTTTTTGCATTATTATAAATGTATAAAGATATGTTTTACGAAATTAGGTTATACCATTTGTACATTTTTTTGTTGATAAAATGTTTTGTTGAATTGATTTCTCTAACCATTTATGATTCTTAACACAAACCACAATATAATCTGTATGTAGGTATTTGGTAGAATTTTAATGAATTATTTTTAAAACTATTAAAGGCAAATAATTACCTTACTTAGTATACGACCTGTTGACATGGTGTGGTTAGATGGTGTCGATTGTACAGTTTGCATCCATCTATTAATATTATTATTGGATATTGTTACTTTATGTTTTGATTCATAGACTGGTGGTGTAACCAAGGTTGTAGATAAATAATGTTTCAGGAGTTCAATTTAAATTTTTATAAATATTTATCAAACAAAACTTGAAAATGTAACACAGAGTTTCTCATAAATGTTATAATAGCATTTAAAAACATTAAAGATACACAACAACGATTTTATTTTATAATAATTTTAAAAAATTGACAAATTTCATCAAAATCATGAAAATTCGTAAATTATTCTGTAGTTAAAAATTTATAAATTGGTTAATTTGTATAGCTATGAATTGATAATTTAAATAGGGTGTTTCATATAAGTAGTTCATATTGTAACTAAAAAATCTAAAAATATGATAATATTTAACACAATTTTTTTTTTTTTTTGATAGTCATTTTAATTGAAAATTTGAACGAAATGAGATATTTTAACAAAAAATAACAATTTTTATTATTTTGTTATAATTTAAAAATATTGTCCGTGGGTACTTGAAACATTTAAAGTATATTATTATAGTATTATATTTTATACACACAATGACAATCTCAAAATGTATTTAACAAAAACTAATTAAACCCACTAAATTAAAAATTAAGTGAAATAAATTACTTTGATCAAAATCATATCTTAATATGTCCTTAATAATATATTCTGATTAACCATCTATGATCAGAATAGATTTTCATACAAAGTTTTTTATCATTAAATTCAAATTAAATACATCCATTACAGTGAACCACTCGACACCTACACCTGCCATACAGCAGAGCTGTAGATTGATAGTCACTTGCCCTCATTTTTTATAATCGATTAATTAGGTATGATAAATATTACAAATTAATACTTATTTCGATTTCTAATAGCAAACATAATGCTAAATAAACATAATTTATTCTCTAATATAATTTAAGACTTTTTTTGTCACAAGTGAAAACACCCTTGTAATAATTATGATTCTTGTCTTAGAATAACCAAAATTTTCCAAAATAATGTAATTTATTTTCATTAGTTAAGTTAAGACAAACTATCATATTTCACGTTGTTAAATATATAACGAAGCTTTCGAGTGTTTACAAAACATTTTTTTTGTTTTATATTATTTTTCAAATCTTAATATTATTATTTAATGGTATACATACACCATTGTCCGTAATGAGTAAAAGAAAAAAAAAAACCAAAACTTAAATGATAAATCCTACTAGTGGGACCAATTCGTATACAACATAATAGTTGTTATAACCTATAAACTGATTTACAATCACTGCCATTTACATATAATATTATAGTGAGTTACGCCGCCGGGAGATGTTTAATTTCACGAGGGAATACATTGGCACGTACTTACCTCTTTGACACTTATGTCGGTTTCCATTATAATCCCTTCGTCAGTGGCATCAGTTGCGTAATAGTGGCTGAATGGTGCACCTGGTAATGGTACCGGTTCCACATGGCCTGTTTTACCGTGGTAACGTAGCAGGTACGCCGTCCAACAAACATACCTGTCGCATATAATTACAATAATAAATTCAATTTAATAACATCGCCATATATTTTATTATGATATATTATGTGCAACGTGTGAGATAATCGAAATCTGTAATAATATGTAAATTTAATATCTCTCAATTTATTGCAAGCGTATTGTGTATACGAATTACATAATCCATAACAGTGCATACGGAATATATTATTACACCAATAATATTATGATTTCAAATATTGTGTTTTGTACCTGCCATATAACAGAATAAATTTCAAAGGACTGTTATATTTAGCCATGTGTTTACTAATCTGAGATAGATATTTCCTTGTTGAAATATTTCAAAGGTACCTACTACCTACTCGATATTTTTAACGGATAGCTTACGAAAAAAAAAATTAAAATTAAAATTAGAGTTTTGGAAAAATTAAATTTGTATACGTTAAAGTACTTATATTAAGACTATAATGGATATTTTATTAAAAAATTAAAAATTATACCTAATAATTTAGTAATATTTTATATATCATAAACATTTATAGCAAACTCTATATTATTATGTTCCTAAGTATCATATAAAATATTAACTTGTGCAATAACTACAACTGTAGGGTTGTAAGATTTAAATGTTTGATGTATTTTTAGTTAATTAACTGACATTAAAGTCTGTTTATTCGAAACGGTTTAACATTATTGAAAATGGACTAGGTATAGTATATTGTACAAAGCGAATTATCTACTTATTTAATAATTAATAGAGCTATAACATAAATATCAATTTTTAACGAAATGTTTCAATGTCCAAACGATTTAATAATTGATCATCGTTTATTCTAAATAAACCTTATTTACCCTTGTAAAATGATGATAATTGATCCTGAATTCACAGGTATATATTTATAGTTATATTTGTTACAGTTAGTTGAATAGTAGTTTGAAAATCTAATGTCAAATGTTATGGTATATTTAATTTCACATTTAACTATGAAATAAAATATACGAAAAAACTTAAAAGAACAACTATCAATTTTAATAATTTACATTTTATAAAAAAGGATTTCATGTTCTTTTGGATCAAGGTAAAATTTCCTACAAGTGTGCGTCGAAACATATTTATATCTTGTAGTGCTGAACCTTTTTTTTTACCATGATGTAGAAAAGCTACTAGAAAATTCTAAAAGTGAATTATTTAAAAGACTAGAAGTGATGCAACTTTTAAAGCAGATACCTTTTACCCGTATAAGTGATAAATATCACCAACACATATTATATGGTTTTAAAAGAAACGAATTCTTCACTTTGATCAGCATTTAAATAAAATATAGGTACCTAATAAGAGTTCTAAATTAAAGTAGCCAATATTATTATTTTTAGGTTTTCATAGAAAATAAATAAATAACTACACTATATTAAGATTTAGATAAGTTATATGTGTTTATAAATATATTATCACAAATTAAATAGTTATTCAGTTATATTTGCAATATTTCCAATTGGATATATACCATGGTAACTGCACCTATACAAATTAAATCATTAGTTATATATTAAAGAGTAAAAGGGAATTTCGTAGTATTCAATGTTAATATTATTTGATCGTTGATGTATTCTTATAAAGTTACAATTAAGGGTGATTTGAAAACTTCGTGCTATTAATATAATTTATACTACAAGGTATTCACATGTTTTTTGTAACATCTACTTATTCATTCATATCCATATTTTTTATAAGTATTATGTTTATAGAAATGTAAATATTTATGAACTTAATATAAATTTTAATTAAAATAGGTGCACATTCAACGTTCTAACATTCTATGTTAATTAATTTTGTTTCCATGTAAATCATTATTTATTTTTTTATTTATTTATTTAGTGATATGAACTTTTCATGCTTATAGTTACGAAAAAATGAAAAAATAAATAACACTAACAGGTAAATATTCATTTTTATTGTTTAATGAAATATGAAGTAATATTTTCATGAATAAGTAATAATTTACGAGTGCTATTGAAACTGTATTAGGGGACAAAAAATTTTTTTGATCTACTTAAAAATATGTTTTTTTTAATTTTCAGTGTGTACACGTAGGTGCAACGAATTAAATATTTGAGTCATCAAAATACAAATAATAACTCAGTTTGAGATTTTTAATATACAAATGTTAACCTATCTTCTAGATGCATTTCACACAAAGAACAATAATGAATATAAATAACATACATTATTTTGTTTATTTTTTCAATAATAAAAAGAATAAAAAACTTGTGAAAGTATRTTTTGTAAAAAAAATATAGTAAAACAAGTTGTTAGATAATACACAGCACACCGTTTTTGGAATCTCAATATGCTTGCTGGGTTAAATGAAAAATATTATAACAGTATACATTCTTTCCGCTGTGTTTCTTTTTTTACCCAAAATTGTGGACAATATTAGCTGCTGAATATCTTAAGAGATTTCCGTTATTCTGTAGCAGGTAAACTGTAAGATAGAGAATAAGRTRGAAAGTGTAATATGTCGTGGTGTAAGATGTTTAGTTTCATAAAAAATAAATAAAATATATTAATTTTTTCAACCCCTTTAACTACGATATTATTTTATCGATGCTTTGTAGTCTATACGTAGTCCGTGCACCGCACATATATTTATATAGCGTTCTCTATAAAAACTTATAATATTAAAATATATTCAGTTGTTTTTTCAAGTAACTTAATATTTTCACTTACCATTCAATATTAAATTTAAGATGTGTTAAATATTTATCAATACTTTATAAAGTTTAAGGTTGTACATTTCATCATGAAATATTTTTATCTATTAAATTAGATATTATTTTAAAATACCAATTAGTTTATTATTCTATAATTCTATATATAATCATAACTTAATAACTAACACTATTATAATACGTTGTATGTAAGTCAGCTGCTGGCAAAAGCTGAAGAAAAAAGTGCAAGGATAATAACTAGCTACTCAATCAAAGGTCAGCTATAATTAAAGTCCGATTTGTAATAACATTCGAGTCATTTTTTAAAATAATTTAGATACTTCAACAATATTGTGTCACTGTTATTTATTAATGGTGTATAACTGTGTGTTTCTTTGRTTAATTGACAGATTACGAATGAACTAACAATATAACAAACACAAACAGGGTTTTTTGATTACACTACTTTTATACTATTATTTTATTATAATTTGAGTTAGAATTGTACTAAAATATTTTAATATCGGATATTCAATATTTTATATACTTTTGTTGAAGTACTTTAAAAAGCTGTCATGAGGTAAATGTGATGATATACTACACTGTACACCATCGATAAATTTAATTACAATATCATATTATTATTAATAACGCAGAGTATAACAAATACAATGCAGTTATAAAAAGTGAGTTATAGAAATAATTAAGATTAAATCAAAAGATTGTAAATGGAAAAAAAATTAAGTAACTGTTGACATTATGAAGAGAAATGTACAATGCATTAGACCATCTCTTATAAAATAAAATGTCAAGGAACTTCAAAAGACGTATTGTTGAGTTAAAGCCAAAAAGTATATTACAGAACCTTCACAACATTACATTCTTAATTATAATTTGAATTTAGTCTTATTATCTATAATTTTAAACTATTTTAAATTAATGTTGATCTAATTGTTACTTTTAATTATTATGAAATTATAAAGTTTTTAATTAATCAAAGTATATTGTATTTCGACAGAAATGTATTTAAAGCTTTTAAATGAATTTAACTTTTTCTTTAAATTGATATGACATTGGAAAAACTAACAGACCAGTATGCAATGAATGCCTATAACAATATTATTAATAATTTTCRTACAACCTATTGACTAAATTCATATTAATATTATATATAAATATAATATCAGAGGTAAACATGTTATTCTATTGAAGTCTATTGACAATTGTTTTTTTATGATATTATGTTGTAGACCAAATTAAATATTTAAATAAATAATGTATTATAGGTATTACTATAAAATTAAACTTAAGTTAAGTAATAATTAACAGAATTTTCCATTCTACGGGCCATTCTTTTTGTTTTATTGAAATTGAAAATGATGTACCTCTATTGGAACATTAAATCGTATTGTTTTATTATGATACAATATTTTTTTTTTTTTACATACTTATAACATTCAACTATATATTTTATCCAGAAATTTCTATAGCTTTGGTCCAATAACTATAACCAAATGATTAAATAACAGGTACCAATTGTTCATAATAATACAGTTTAGTAAAAAGATTCAAATCATACAAACTTAAGATTTAAACGCAGAGAAAAATAAATAAATGGAGTCATCTCAAATATTATTATAGTTTTCAAATTAATTAATCTATATAGTGATATTATCGTAAACGTATTATTTACGACATAAAAAGTAGATTGGTAAAAATAAACAATTCGATTTGATAATATAATAATTAAGCAATCTATGGTCCCGTCAAGTTACATTATAAAACTACTGTTACTATAGCTACCAACTAGAAAATATATATTAATATATAAGTGAACAAAAATACCATGTACAAAGTAGTAATGTAATATTGAACTGGGAGATGGTTGAAAACATGGGAAAATTCGTTTAAAATACCAAAGTGATTGTGGACAATTTAGGGTAATGTTAATTATTTAGCCTTAACAATTAAGCGTATTTTGATTTTACTAATTACGAACTCTAATAAATACMAAGGATTAACACCGTATATAAAACCCAGAATCAGTGGCAGTATAAGCCTAACATTATAGCTAATTATGAAACCATGTGTAGAATTTAATGAATGACGTACGCATAAATTGTATTTAGAATAAATTTACTTAAACATTAATTTCTGATTATTACATTAAATCAACCATGGAAAAAAAATTGCTACGATTTTTAGACCGATAAAGATTTTAAAAAAATKTAGGAAAGTTGATTGAAATCTGAAATATAATAAAACGAGATGAAATGTATTTCATTACTGAACAGATAAATTTTAGTATTA